TTCATGGATAAAAAATAAAGGACACAAAAAGAAAGAAAGTCAAGGACAAATGAATATGCACTTTATCTGGAGTTATACTTCTGCATCATTAGGTCGATTTTTCATTACCCAACCTTTTATAACAGGTCATGTGATTCCAAATGTTTCTTTGTCTCTCCCAGAGCTATCTCTATAGTCTACTTTCTGTGCCTTGATGTTTCAACTGCACAACCTGAAAAATAAAAATGTAATTTTGTGATAATATGAAAAATTATATATTTATGGCAAAAAGCCATATCCAAGTTTGAAGAGTGCCATGTTGTGGGAAATGTAGATCTTTGGTGTTCCTTTGGGTGGAGCATCTTCTGATTTGTGTCCCCTGCAGCTGCAGACAATGTGTATTGGGCCAGCACCGTTGACCCAATACACATGGTCTGTACCTGCAAGGGGCACAAACCAGATGGCCCATCCACTGAACCACTAAAGAACTAAAGCCAAACTTTGAACTTGAATAGGGCTTTTTGCCAGTAGGCCATGTTCATTAGAGAAAAATCCCCCATCAAGTACAAAAAAAGAACAGCCCAATTGCCTGAACAGGTAGCTGTCAATGCAGTCTGGACAACAAACGTCATATGGGTTATTCCATGGAATTAGCAAATGAGTCAGGACTGCATAAGTGAAAGTTTATAAGATGTTAGAAAATAACAAAATATATAATTTTATTTTGATACATATGTTACAATTCTTGTAATTGCATTCATATACAACCAAACATAACTCCAAAACCTATCTTGTTATTGTTCGCATCACCTGGTTTTTCCACTTTCTAGGGAGTGACTTTTTTCTTGTACAGTAAGTATGTTGCACTGATTGCAAGTATTACTCCCAGGACAGTTCCACAGATGATACCAGTTATCACTGTACCATTAAAAGAATAGGCATCTAAAAGATCAAAGTACACATGTTACTAATATTACAATAGTAATGATATTTCATTATTTACAAACTATCCTTTCTTCCCTTTCCAACTTTGCAATGCTGCTGTCCACAAGGCATTCTTGAGTTACCTTTCCATTTTTTCTCTCTTTAAGTCCATAAGCTAATGAAGCCATTGCAATTGCGTCCCCTCATATAACATTCAATTACTGCTCTCCCTCCTCATTCCCTTCCCACTCCCAGTCAGTATGGCAAGCTGGATCCTTGTTGTTTAGGGGGGTTGCACTAATGTTGCTGCCCCGTCCCGTGCGACACAATGCAGTGGGAGCTTGGTGACATCAGCAGAGGTTCTGGACTGGCTCATGGTACCTCGATTTATTTTTTGCCTGTGTCTTTGGTTGCCAGCAGACATCTATTCTGGCAAGCGATATTAAAGAAAAGGAAAAGAGGGGAGACAAAGGGAGAGGTCCTAAAGGGTACCTATTTAAAACCCTGAATGACTACATCACTTTGCATAGTTGTTCTGTTCATTTCAGACAATTTGTCAATTGTTTTTCTTATTATCTATTTTATTGGTATTGACCTGGAATGTCTACTCATGTATGAACATTTGCTATCTAAAATATTGACCTTTGGATTGGCTGACTCGGTTTTATTGGATTTTCCTGTAGTTGTTCCCCCAAGGCCCTGTCACACTTTGAGTTCCAGCACATAACCCTATGAGACATTTTTTGTTATATACTGCTCTTGTGATCTGAATTGATATCTAGGTTTTTTATTATATTCTGAATAGTGATGTCGCGAACATAAAATTTTCTGTTCGCGAACTTCCGCAAATGTTCGCGAACGGGCGAACCTGGCGAACCGCCATAGACTTCAGTAGGCAGGCGAATTTTAAAACCCACAGGGACTCTTTCTGGCCACAATAGTGATGGAAAAGTTGTTTAAAGGGGACTAACACCTGGACTGTGGCATGCCGGAGGGGGATCCATGGCAAAACTCCCATGGAAAATTACATAGTTGATGCAGAGTCTGGTTTTAATCCATAAAGGGCATAAATCACCTAACATTCCTAAATTGTTTGGAATAACGTGCTTTAAAACATCAGGTATGATGTTGTATCGATCAGGTAGTGTAAGGGTTACGCCCGCTTCACAGTGACAGACCAAACTCCCCGTTTAACGTACCGCAAACAACCACAAACAGGCCATTTGCACAACCGCAAACTCCCCATTTGCACAAAGTTGTATACCAAGCTAGCCATGTCCCGTTCCTTGTCCTCACTGATGTCATTGAAGGTCTCTTCCTCCATCCAGCCACGTACAACACCAAGGGTCCCCAAAAGGTGACAACAAGCCCCCTGGGACGCCTGCTGTGTTTGGTCTTCCACCTCCTCAAAGCCACCTTCCTCCTATGACTCCTCTTCTTCAGACTCCTCTCTCTGCGTTTCCTCTTTCTGCATTATTATAAGGTATGTTCCTATCAGTTTAATCCCTGTTATGTCCCCTATCAGGGGACGTGTATATGTCATCGATTTTAGGAAGAGGGAGATGGAAAAAGATTGGTCGGTCCTCCTACTTCAAATTTGGGGCACTGCGCGTGCCACCAGATAATGTGCCACCAGATAGGAGTGGTGTGTTAAGTAGTACTATTCCTATCAGTTTAATCCCTGTTACGTCCCCTATTAGGGGACGTGTATATGGCATCGATTTTAAGAACCGGGAGATGGAAAAAGATGCTTGATTGGTCCTCCTTCTTCAAATTTGGGGCACTGCGCGTGCAATCTAATGTGCCACCAGCTGGGAGTGGTGTGTTAAGTAGTACTATTCTTATCAGTTTAATCCCAATGTCACGACTACTAGTGTGGTCCAGCACACAGAAACTATGTAAACATATATATATAGGCAAGAAAAGGAAAATAAAATAGAATGGCCGGACTAATATGCTAGAGACAGAGAATGGTCAAAGGGAAAGCCGAGGTCAAGGAAGCCAGAAAATACACAATACCGTTTCCACGAGCCAAGTCAGGGAAACCAGAATTCATAATAACCAGGGAAAAGCCAAGATCAGGATACCAGGAAATCAGATTCACAATGATAAAGCACTCTCAGGAAACCAGGAACAGAAAACCACGACAGGGCAAGGTACTGGGGTGAGCTAGGGATTTATATATCACACGGCGGGCCGGCAGCCGCTACACCCTGTTACGTCCCCGTCATCAGGCCTTTTTTAGTCGAATGTATCGCCCACTGTCAGTCCCTTCGAGATCCATCCCTCATTCATCTTAATAAAGGTGAGGTAATCTAGACTTTTTTGACCTAGGCGACTTCTCTTCTCAGTGACAATACTTCCTGCTGTACTGAAGGTCCTTTCTGACAGGAGGATTACTTTCACCTCTTCCCCTGTTAGATTCCCGTTGTGCTGTGACATCATCCTTATACGCTGTGTAAAGCATACTTTTTTATTGATTTTGGAACTGCTGCATCCTTTTCGACTTGCCGTAATTCGGTAACATTTCAGGCACTTTCTGCTTATACCGGGGGTCTAGTAGCGTGGACACCCAGTACAGGTCGTTCCCCTTCAGCCTTTGTATGCAAGGGTCCCTCAACAGGCACGACAGCATGAAAGACCCCATTTGCACAAGGTTGGATCCCGAGCTACTCATGTCCTGTTCCTCGTCCTCACTGATGTCAATGAAGGTATGTTCTTCCCCCCAGCGACGTACAACACCACGGGTACCAGAAAGGTGACAACGAGCACCCTGGGATGCCTGTTGTGGTTGGTCTTCCTCCTCCTCCTCAAAGCCACATTCCTCCTCTGACCCCTCTTCCTCACAATCCTCTTCCAGCATAGCCGCAGGTCCAGCAAGCAATGCTGATAAGGCTGTTTCTCGTGGTGATGGTGACCACAACTCTTCCTCTTCCTCTTCACACTCATCTATGGCCTGATCCAGCACTCTTCGCAGGGCACGCTCCAGGAAGAAAACAAATGGTATGATGTTGCTGATGGTGCCTTCGATGCGACTGACTAGGTTTGTCACCTCCTCAAAAGGACGCATGAGCCTACAGGCATTGCACATGAGCATCCAGTAACGTGGCAAAAAAATTCCCAGCTCCGCAGAGGCTGTCCTAGCACCCCGGTCATACAAATACTCGTTAACAGCTTTTTCTTGTTGGAGCAGGTGGTCGAACATTAGGAGTGTTGAATTCCAATGTGTCGTGCTGTCACAAATCAAGTGCCTCACTGGCATGTTTTTTTGCCGCTGGATATCTGAAAAGTGCGCCATGGCCTGCTTCAGGACGTCCTGTAAGCCTGGGTACTTATGCACAAAGCGTTGTACGATCAGATTACACACATGTGCCATGCACGGCACATGTGTTAACTTGCCCAAATGCAATGCCGCCAACAAATTTCTTCCGCTGTCACAAACCACTTTGCCGATCTCCAGTTGGTGTGGAGTCAGACACTGATCCACCTGTGCCTTCAGGGCGGACAGGAGTGCTGGTCCGGTGTGACTCTCTGCTTTCAGGCAAGTCAACCCCAAGACGGCGTGACACTGCCGTATCCGGGATGTGGAATAGTACATGGGGAGCTGGGGTGGTGCCGTTGATGTGGAGCAAGACGCAGCAGCAGAAGAGGACTCATCTGAGGAGGTTATGGAAGAGGATGGAGTAGGAGGAGTAGAGGAATTGGCAGCAGGCCTACCTGCAAGTCGTAACGGTGTCACCAACTCCTCTGCAGAGCCACGCATTCCATGCTTGGCAGCCGTCAGCAGGTTTACCCAATGCGCAGTGTAGGTGATATACCTGCCCTGACCATGCTTTGCAGACCAGGTATCAGTGGTCAGATGGACCCTTGCCCCAACACTGTGTGCCAGACATGCCATTACTTCCTTTTGCACAATCGAGTACAGGTTGGGGATTGCCTTTTGTGCAAAGTAATTTCGGCCGGGTACCTTCCACTGCGGTGTCCCAATAGCTACAAATTTTTTGAACGCCTCAGACTCCACCAGCTTGTATGGTAAAAGCTGGCGGGCTAAGAGTTCAGTCAAGCAATTTTTTAAATGCAAGCTATTGTGACACCAGTGAGTGAGTGGTGGCACTGGGCAAGTGGGCACAGTATATGCTGTGAGCCTGACACACAGGCTGGCAGGCAGGCAACTGCAATTACATTACACAGAAAAAAAAAAGCAGACTGATGTTCTAGCCCTAAAAAGCAGAGATCAGATGAGTCCTTCAGGACTGTAGTGGACACTGAATACACTAGCCTAGCTATCAATTTCCCTATCAAATCAGCAGCAGCTACACTGTCCCTCCTCTCACTAAGAATGCAGCTTCACAATGAATGTAAAATGGATGCTGTCCAGGAGGTGGGAGGGTATGGGAGGGAGGGTCTGCTGCTGATTGGCTGGAATGTGTCTGCTGACTGTGAGGTACAGGGTCAAAGTTTACTCAATGATGACGAATAGGGGCGGACCGAACAGCGCATATGTTCGCCAGGAACTATTCGCAGGCGAACCGTTCGGGACATCACTAATTCTGAATAGAATACTGTAAGATACTGCAAAAACAGGGTAAGATTTGTCAAACCTGACCATCAACTCAGCTGTCTTAAAGATAATTTATATTAGCTACCCTACTACCCAATCCTAAAAATCTACAGTGAATTAATTTAATAATGGCCACAAATTCAATAATAATTATAGTTGTGATTTTTTTACTCAATCCTGTTTGTAAACCCACCTCCTGTACATGCTATTGTGGATCTTCTATTGTGTAATTTGGTAGGTCCTAACAATGAAATCTACATGCTTTCATCTATAAAGCTCCTTACATTCAAATACGTAACTACAAACACTCTTGCAAAACCGACCTGGTCTGCTTCATAAAGATGTTTCCGGTAACATGTATATTGCAAAATTCTTTATCTCAGTACATACCAATAACTTTTACATGCAAAGTAGCTTCACCATAGCCCATGGTTACCGGGTTATGCATCTCACATGTAAAACAACCCTGGTGCTGATTTTGGGCATTCTCAATATGAAGTGTGCTCTTGCTGATGTTTAATGGTGCTCCATTGAATGTCCAGTTGTAGATGTTTGATTTGAAAGAGTCAGCTCCACATTGTAAATCAAGGTGAGACCCAACATTCACTTCTAAAGTGGCCACAAAGAATTGAGTTTCAGGGGCATCTATGAAATATAACACCAGTTATTAGATTTTCAGCACATGATTAATATTTACAGCATATCTTTTGTACTTATATTATGCAAGGACAGTGTGGTTTGTGCACTCACACTGTATTAAGTACAGCCGTTCTCAAATCTGTTTTTGCTGTTGACCCAAAAGAAGGCACAAAACCCAGGTGGAAGTGCTTTTCCAATTTTGCAAAAAACTAGGCATTTATTACTTTTTGATCACAAAATGCCAGTCAGATCTTTCCTTGGATCAAGAAACTGTTACACCACATATTAAAAATGATATCCTTGAATTATATGTTTTTGAAGTATTCATACAGTTGCTATTTAACCCCTTAATACCACCTGTATTCTATGCCATTCTGAAAAAGCTGGGCTTTAATGCTGCAGGGTGTCATAGAACATCCAGCGGATAGTGGCTATTCCCAGCTCCTCATACTTACCCTCTGCAACAATTCGGTTCAGGGGAACAGGCTAACAGTCCGGCCACTCCTGGCAATGTGATGACATCGTGATCACATGATTGGATCAACAGTAAGCTGTACAGCGGAACTGCCTGGGTTGTCAGACAGTCCCCCAAACTGGAAAATAAACTTAGTAAATATGTTTTAATCAGTTTATTACAACCCTCCCCCATGATTAGATAAAAATAATTGTGTGTTTTGTTTAATAACAATATGATGATCCTGGCTGATCCAGGTAGGACGTCCCGAGAATTTAATTTGCAAGCTCTATATTTGACCCTGTAACTTTCCAAAAACATAATAAAACCAGTAAATTTTGTCTAAAAATGCCCCAACCATGGCTAGGTATGATACAGAGAGATATCATGAATTTTATATGGAAAGGAAAAAGACTGAGAATCAATAAAAAACAACTGATATATAATACATTTCCCAAATGTGAATCATACATATCTTTCAAATATGTTTTTTCATCTATATAAAACTCAATTACTTAGCTCTAAAGAAGAGGGATGGTTTATGCTTGAAACAGAAATGAGCGAGATAGAAAATCTGAGCCAGTTGGTGTGAATGAGCAAGGGAGATGAGAGGGTTATGAAAGCTAGTGCTTCAAATATGTGTTTAGGATCGATAATGTTTGAATGGAACAGGTTGACACGCAGTAGCGGTTTGGGTAATAAAATTTTAAGAAACTTTAAACGTTCAGTTATTATATCACGAATAATGGATCTGGATATAGCAGAGTGGTTAAGAAAGGGTATAAAATATATTAATAAATATATATATATATTGATAAATTATAAAATTAAGTATTTTTAGTTGCTAACTCAGGAATTTCATTTATCTCAGAAAGAGTGTTTTAATTATTTGAGGATAAAAAACTTTATTAAACAATATCTTCTTTATAATCCTGTAGGGGGTAGATAAATGATAAGTGTGTTATTAAACAATGAA